TTTGTTGAAGCCTACTGCAAGCCAGCCATGCCTATGGGGAAGGCCGGCACCTGCAGGACTGCTCCTCAATGCTGTGGTCATTGCTCAGAAGGGAAAGGTCTCAAGGAAGAGTCACCTGGGACAAGCACACGCCCACCAGCCATGGCCTTGGTAAAGGTTAGAGGACCGGTGTGTGTGGATCTGCGGTGTTTCACTGGAAATAATTTATTCATTGCAGATACTTTTTAGGTGGCATTTTATTCATTTCCTATGCTTTTTTAAATAAACCGATGTACCAAAAAACAAGTATCAAACTGTTTAAATGTTTCGGCTACTTGTCCCCTGGTTCAGTAGAGGCCCCCGGCTCCCAGTCATTGACTGTGACAGGCTCAGCATGGGCTCGGCAGATGCTGTCTTCATTTGTGTGTGGCACAGAAAGCCGGGCTTTGAGATACAAGCTCTTCCCTCTTCATGTGATGCCACGCAGTGTGTCTTCACACAGATGTTTTCATCCAGAAATAAAAATAATAGTCTTGGTGTCTCGCCACCACTCATTTTCAAGTCTCACCTTGGCACCACCTGTATGCCAGTGGAAGGAATGGAAGCTGTTGCCAATGGGTAGCCAAGAGGCCAGGGATCGTTCTGTTCTGTTCTTGTTGGGGCAACATGCCCCCCCACCGTGTGCCCTTTCCCAATACCTAACTGCTGTAGAGGCCCAGGGCCACCCTAACACTGACCACAGTTGACCTGCAGGTCACCAGCCACCAGAACAAAAGTAAAGGGAGAGCGGTGAGAGAGGAAGGTTCCCACAGCCCCCACCATCTGCCAGGAACTTGGAGAGACCCAACCATGTTGGGTTGAGTCCACCGGGAAAACCAGATGCTGCTGTGTAACGAGCCACCCCAAAATTTAGTTAACCATCATTTGTTTTGCTCACAAATCTGCACTTAGAGCAGGGCTCAGCAGGGACTGCATATCTCTGCTCCATGTGGCCTCAGCTTGGGCAGCACAACTAAAACCCTCTTTCCAGAAGGCTCTTTGACACAGCTGGCAGGTTAGTGCTGGCTACCGGCTGGGAGCTTTCACGCCTGGTCACTTGAGCCACTGCACAGGGTTTCTTCACAACGCAGTGGCTGGGTTCAAAGACTGAGGGCTCCAGATTCAAGAGGTCAGAACAGCCGGTCTCTCAGGGCTGGGCCTGGACACTGGAGTGACATTACTTCCATTTCATTCCTTTTTTTTTCTTTCTTTTTTGCCCTCTTGACCCAGCTTTTCCCAACTCCAGAAAGAATCAGGAAGAGAAGGCCTTCTTTTTTTTTTTTTTTTTTTAAGAGTCAAGATCTCACTCTGTTGCCCAGGCTGGAGTGCCGTGGTAGGATCATAGTTCACTGCAACCTTGAACTCCTAGGTTTAAAGCGACCCTCCCGCTTCAACCTCCGGAGTAACTGGGACTACAGGTGTGCACCACCACGCCCAGTTAAACTTCCATTCTATTCTATGGGGGAGTCAGTCACAGAACCTCCTCAGGTCTAAGTGAAGGAAGCAAAGACTCCCCCCAGCCCCATCGCAGTGGAAGAGGTGTCAAAGAATTTGCAGCCATCTGTAATACGCTGCATTGGGGCTGGGGAGATCAGAGTCAAGTGCCCATGCCCTGGGACAGCACTGACCGCCTTCGCCACCATGTCCTTCGTCTCCATGACCACGTCTGGGCTGCATCCCACACCTGACTGCCCCTTCTCCTGGATCCTGCTCTCAGGACTCAAGTTCAGTCTTTGGCCTTCTGGCCTTTTCTCTCTGCACAAACTGCCCCATAGGGAGGGTACTGTCTTAGTCCATTTGTGTTGCTACAAAGGAATACAGAAGGCTGGGTAATTTACGAAGATAAGAGGTTTATTTGGCTCATGGTTCTGCAGGCTGTAAAAGAAGCATGAAGCCCAGCATCTGCAACTGATGAGGGCCTCGGGCTGCGTCCCCTCATGGCGGAAGGCAAAGGGGAGCCAGCAAGTGCAGAAATCACATGGTGAGAGAGGAAGCGAGACAATAGCAGAGGAGGGGGTGGTGCTAGGTTCTTTCCAACAACCAGCTCTTGAGAGAACTAAGAGAGGAAGAACTCACCGCGCACCCAGGGAGGGCATGAATCTGTTCTGAATGGCTACACAAGATTACCCCTTCTAAGGTCACTTCCAGCTCTAGAATGCTTTGGTTCCTCCAGTCACCCAGGCCCAGAGCATTGGACCTAACTCTGTTTCATCCCTGTCACTCACCCTGATTGTTCTAGATTCTCCTCCCATCCAGCATCCCCCTCCATTCCACCGTTCCTTTTTCATCATGCGACTCCCTGGCTCTGAAATCTGTGCCTCTGGACTTGGTTGGCCCTTAGAACAGAATCCTTGGTCTTTTGCTGGTGGTGTGGCACCTTCGTTCCACTGCCTGGTCTTCCTTACCTCTCCAGACCTCTCTCTGCCCACTTCACCCATGACCTCGGAACGCTATTCCAGTGGGGCTCTGAATCCACTCCTGCCCACATCTTACCCATGCCATCGTTCCTGGACAACTCACAGCAAAAGCTGCCTACCCTCCAAGGCTTACCAGCACTTCAGAGTCTATCACAAAGCACATTTTCTCCAGGAAGCTCTCCAACTCTGCTAAGCTCTCCTTCTAAATCCCAGTAGTCCTTTTGATTCATAATTCTTCTGCAGGTCGCTATGTTCATTTCATTATTTAACAAAGTTGTGCTTGCATGTCTTTTGCTAGCCAAGATGCTACATTTCTGAGAGGTAGGGGCCCATGTCTTGTACTTGGTCCATCTGCCTCACATTACCCAACACAGTGGGTACCCTAGAAATGATGTCTGTTACATTTAATTGTCAGAGACACGTTGTACTTCAGCAGTGACTTCAGGCAGGTGTTATACTGGAGGCTTCCAGATGGCAAGGAGGAACTAGATGTCAGGCAAATGCCCTGTGTTTTACAAACCTTATCATGTCACCTTCTGATATCCTAGCAGCAAAGCTTATCTTCAGCTTACTGGTGAGAGAAGAAGGCCCAGTAAGGAGTCACAAGCCCAAGGTCACAAACCAGCAGGAGGCAGGGCAGCAAACATACAGCCTTTACATAGTGCTCTGCTACTTAGACCATGAGACTGGGTTCTCCTGGGAGTCATGGTCAGGAGAGGGTCTGCCAGAGAGTCTGGTGGACCCCAAGCCTCCCTAGACAATGTTTGTTTCCTCTTTTTGCTTTCCTCCAAGAGGCCACAAGTATGAGGTGGAGAAGGCCTCAGGGACACTGAGGAACAATATCTAGTCCTGGACACAAGATTAAATCTTCTAACATCACTTCTAACTCTAGAATGCTTTGATTCCTCCAGTCACCCTGGTCCAGAATATTGAACCCAACTTCGGTTCATCCGTGTCACTCACCCTGGTACGCTGATTGGCATGTCTGCTCCCACCTATACATCCTGTCTGGACTTTGTGTTGGCAGCTCCTCCCCCGAGTCAAGGATACTTGGGGTCTGATGTTAGAGCCGCAGAGCAAAGCACCTATAGCCCTGCCAGGCTGCTGCCAAACCTGTCTCCTTTACCCTTGCCCTGCCCTTCAGCCCCAGCCTTTCATAGACTCCTGTTCCCCAGGAAAGAGGGGAGTCCCGTTCATAGCTGTGTGGTCTCTGGGATCATGTCTAATCAGTGCCACATCAAGGCATCCTTAGCCAATGCTGGGGAGCCTAAGGACAACACCCACCCCCACAACTCACTGTTCTGTTTGTGGGGTTCACAAGGCTGTTTCTTGTCTGTAAAGGTGCTTATGAGGAAACAAGAAAGGTGGAACTCATTCTCCTCCTGGCCAATTCTCTCCTAGCCTCTGACTTCCTAAGAACTTTTTTTTCTTGAGACAGAAACTCACTTTATTGCCCAGGCTGGAGTGCAGTGGCTCACTGCAACCTCCACCTCCCAGATTCAAGCAATTCTCATGCCTCAGCCTCCCAAATAGCTTGAATTACAGGTGTGCCCCACCATCCCCAACTAATTTTTGTATTTTTAGTAGAGATGGGGCTTCACCATGTTGGCCAAGCTGGTCTCAAACTCCTGACCTCAGGTGACCCTGCCAGCCTTCACCCAGCAAAGTGCTGGGATTACAGGTGTGAGCCACTGTGCCCAGCCTTAAGAACCTCCTAATGATCCCATGAGTTATAGGGCTGAACCAGCACGGCCTTTTCTCTACCCTCTAATGTAAGTGTATTAGTCCGTTTTCATCCTGCTGATAAAGATATACTCAAGACTGGGAAGAAAAAGAGGTTTAATTGGCCTTGCAATTCCACATGGCTGGGGAACCCTCAGAATCATGGTGGGAAGTGAACGGCACTTCTTACATGGCAATGGCAACAGAAAAATGAGGAAGTGCAAAAGCAGAAACCCCTGATGAAAACAGGTCTCATTAGACTTATTCACTACGAGGAGAACAGTATGGGGGAAACTGCCCCCACGATTCAAATGATCTCCCTCCAGGTCCTTCCCAGAACATGTGGAAACTATGGGAGTACAATTCAAGATGAAATCTGGGTGGGGACACAGCTAAACCATATCATTCCACTCCTGGCCCCTCCAAATCTCATGTCCTCACATTTCAAAACCAATCATGCCTTCCCCACAGTCCCCCAAAGTCTTAACTTGCTTCAGCATTAACTCAAAAGTCCACAGTCCAAAGTCTCATCTGAGACGAGGCAGGTCCCTTCCGCCTATGAGTCTGTAAAATCAAAAGCAAGCTAGTTACTTCCTAGACACAATGGAGGTATGGGTATTGAGTAAACACAGCCTTTCCAAAACAAAGGGGTTATAGGCCCCAAAGCAAGTCTGAAATCCAGCAGGGCAGACACATCTTTTTTCTTTTTTTCTTTGTTTTTCTCTTTGTCTTTGTCTTTTTTCTTTTTTTCTTTATGCTTTTTCTTTTTTCTTATTTTCTTTTTTCTTCATTTTTTTCTTTCTTTTTTTTTTCCTTTTTTTCCTTTTTCTTTTTTTTCCTTCTCATTGTCTGAAACTTCTATAACCTTGCTCTACACAGAGTAGGGCAAGGCCTCAAACCATTTCAAAACTGTTCTGGCAAGCACTATAGGAATGCACAGGGTCACTGCAGACCCAAGCATGCTAGAGGCTTGCTAGGCGATCAAATCTTAAAGTTCCAAAATGATCTCCTTTGACTCCATGTCTCACATCCAGGTCATGCTGAAGCAAGAGGTGGGTTCCCATGGTCTTGGACAGCTCTTCCCCTGTGGCTTTGCAGGGTACAGCCTCCCTCCTAGCTGCTTTCACGGGCAGGCATTGAGTCTGTGGTCTGTGGCTTTTCCAGGCACATGGTGCAAGCTGTCAGTGGGTCTACCATTTTGGGGTCTGGAGAACAGTGGCCCACTTCTCACAGCTCCACTAGGCAGTGCCTCAGTATGGACTCTGTGTGGGAGCTCCAACTCCACATTCCCCTTCTGCACTGCTCTAGCAGATGCTCTCCATGAGAGCCCCACCTCTGCAGCAAACTTCTGCCTGGACATCCAGGCATTTCCATACATCCTCTGAAATCTAGGTGGAGGTTCCCAAACCTCAGTTCTTGACTTCTGTGCACTTGCAGACTCAACACCATGTGGAAGCTGCCAAAGCTTAGGGCTTACACCCTCTGAAACCATGGTCTGAGCTCTACATTGGTCCCTTTCAGCCATGGCTGGAGTGGCTGGGACACAAGGCACCAAATCCCTAGACTACACACAGCTAGGGGACTCTGGGCTTGGCCCATGAAACCATTTTTTCCACCTAGGCCTCTGGGCCTGTGATGGGAGAGACTGCTGTGAAGATCCCTGACATGCCCTGGAGACATTTTCCCCATTGTTTTTGGGATTAACATTTGACTCCTCACTACTTATGCAAATTTCTGCAGCTGGCTTGAATTTCTTCTCAGAAAATAGGTTTTTCTTTTCTGCTGCATTTTCAAGCTGCAAACTTTCCAAACTCTCATGCTCTGTTTCCCTATTAAAACTGAAGGCCTGTAATCCCAGCACTTTGGGAGGCTGAGGGCGGCAGATCACGAGGTCAAGAGATCAAGACCATCCTGGCCAACATGGTGAAACCCCGTCTCTACTAAAAATACAAAAATTAGCTGGGCGTGGTGGTGTGTGCCTGTAGTCCCAGCTACTCAGGAGGCTGAGGCAGGAGAATTGCTTGAACCTGGGAGGTGGAGGTTGCAGTCAGCCAAGATTGTGCCACTGCACTCCAGCCTGGTGCCTGGCAACAGAGTGAGACTCTGTCTCAAAAAAAAAAAAAAAAACTGAATGCCTTTAACAGTACCCAAGTCACCTCTTGAATACTTTGCTACTTAGAAATTTCTTCTACCAGATACCCTAAATCATCTCTCTCAAGTTCAAAATTCCACAAACCTCTAGGGAAGGGGCAAAATGCCACCAGCCTCTTTGCTAAAACATGACAAGAGTCATCTTTGCTCCACTTCCCAACAAGTTCCTCATTTCCATCTGAGACCACCTCAACCTGGACTTTATTGTCCATATTGCTATCAGCATTTTGGGCAAAGCCATTCAACAAGTCTCTAGGAAGTTCCAAACTTTCCCACATTTTCCTCTCTTCTTCTGAGCCCTCCAAACTGTTCCAACCTCTGCCTGTTACTCAGTTCCAAAGTCGCTTCCACATTTTCAGGTATCTTTTCAGCAGCACCCCCTTTACTGGTACCAAGTTACTGTATTAGTCCATTTTCATGCTACTGATAAAGACATATCTGAGACTGAGAAGAAAAAGAGGTTTAATTGGACTTTCAGTTCTACATGGCTAGGAGGCCTCAGAATCATGGCGGGAGACAAAAGGCACTTCTTACATGGTGGTGGCAAGAGAAAGATAAGGAAGATGCAAAAGCAGAACCCCCTGATAAAACTATCACATCTCGTGAGACTTATTCACTACAGAAACCGTCCCCATGATTGAAATTATCTCCCACCAAGTCCCTCCACAACACACGGGAATTATGGGAGTACAATTCAAGATGAGATTTGGTGGGGACACAGAGCCAAACCATATCAGCAGGTAATTGCAAGAGCTGGACTATGGTCATTTGAGACCCAGCCAACAAACAAGCCTAGGAAAAAACCAGCTGTAGTCTACAGGACTCAGAAAGAGGGAAGATCTGATGTAAGGAAAGAGCTCCCCACCCCAGGCTTCTGCCCAGGCCAGCAGCAGTGCAGCAGCAGCAAACACTCTCGTCTTTATTTCCTCCGCTATTTTCAGCACTCTGACTGCCCGGCCCACATTCTCACGACCTGGAAGGCAGCTTCATGGTCATGTAAACTATGCGTTGCACAGAGCCTGCAACTCGGAAGGGCCCACACTTGATCTCTGCTGTCACCAGCTCAAAATTCTTAATAATTTTTGAACAAGGGACTCAGCGTTTTTATTTTGCACTGGGCTCCAGCAAATTAAGTAGCCAGGCCTTTTTAGAGGATGAGGCAGTCTCTGAGAGGTTTAACAACTTGTCTGGGCCATCACAACTAAGTGACAGAATGAGATTTGAGTCCTAAAGTGTCTTAAACTCCATCAGCCTCTTTCTTCAGGGGGCTAGCCTCTGCTTGTTCAGTCAGACTTTCCACTCCTGTGTACACAATTTTTAATCTCTATCAAAGGGCCTTCTGTACACCTTTATAAGCTGGCTAAAGCTCATACTTATTAGGCTGATCATCTAAAAAAAAAAGAACGTATGTAAATTGGCCTATAGACAGAATAGGTCTATTTAGACAGGACAGACTAATCATGTTCAAGACAGTAGCCAGCAGCTACATGTGGCTATTTAAACTTTAGTATTTATTTAATTAAAATTTTATTAAATTTGGTGCTAATGAATACATCAAAATGTACTGGGCTTCCTTTTTCAAATTAAGTGTACGTGATTGTAAATGAAAGAGACTAAAGTCCCAGGGTAGGAAAACTAGGAAAAGGGACATGGAGATCTTACTTGAATGTGCACCTGAGGGTGCTTTGTGTGAATATATTGCACACTACAGCATCTTATTTCTTTTTTTGAGTTGAGTTTCAATCAAATACACTTCTTCACCCTTCTAAAAAAAATGTAGTTTCTCAGTTTCACTAGCCACATGTTCAAGCTTTCAGTGTCTATATGTAGCTAAGTGGCTACTGTATTGGACAGAACAAATATAGAACATCTCCATCATGACAGAAAATGTGATTGAGCAGGGCTAATATAATAAATGTGGGGGGGGGGGAGTGTGTGTATATAATGCCACCTTCCATGTATTGAATGATTACTGTATACCAAGAGCTCTTCTAAAATGTTTATATGAACAGTTTAATTGAGTCCTCATATTTAATTTTCAGTCTCTATCTTACTTGACACAGTATTGAACACCATCTCTCACTCTCTCCTCCGTGAGACAGTTTCCTTCTCTTGGCCACCACAACCTCAGATTTGCTGATTTTCCTCCTTCCCCTCTGGTTTCTCCTTCTCAGTCTCCATGGCTGGCTCCCCCTTTTCTCCCAATCTCTAAACTTCAGAGGGCCCCATGGTCCAGTGCCCAGATTCTTCCCTTTTCTTTCCACACTTACTCATTTGGTGACTTTCTTCAATCCCATAACATTAAATACCATCCATGTCCCAATGGCTCCCAAGGTGGACCTATGTCCTGAATTCTGACCATGTATTCATCTCTGCTCAAGATTTCCAGTTGACATCTAATGGCCATCTCTAATTTGAAATGTCCACAACTGAGCTTCTGATGTTCCCCTCAAACCTGTTCCTCCCATTGGCGGGGAGGCTAGAGGAAACAGGTTTGCTCCAACCCAGTTGATGGCAGCTCTGTTCTTCCAAAAACTTTAGCATTGTCTCTGACTCCTCTCTTTCTCTCACGCCCCCTATCCAGTCCATAGAGGATCTTAAGGGTTCTCCCTTATATGATGAATACCCCTTCTTCCTACTTCCACCGCTTTCACTTGGTTCACCCCAACATCCTCTTTCGCTTAGATGATGCAGTCACCTCCCAAATCAGTCTCTGTGCTTCCACCTTCGCCCTCTTCAGCCTCATCTCAGACAGTAGCACAGTGATTCTGTTTGTATATAAAGCAGATCTTGCAACTTCCCCACCCAGAACCTGCCTGTGCTCCCATCCGACTCAGCATAGAAGCCAAAATTCTTTCTAAGGTCCACAAGCCCTTGCTAGTGCAGGCTCATACCTCTTTAACAACTGTTCCTGCTAGGTTCTCTGTCAGTCATCCTGCTCCACCCAGTCCAAGCCCTTGGCTGTCCTTGAACACTCTGACCTCACAGCCTTTGTATTTGCTGTTCTCCCCACCTGGAATGTGTTTCCATCAGATACTCCCTGACTCTCCCTCTTACTAGGTCTTTATACACATGTGAGCTTAATGTCCCAATTAAATCCTATGTGGCTTCCCTGGTGACACTCTCTAAAATGTCAAGCCTTTCCATGACCTCCACACTTTATATCCGTCTTCCCTGTTTTATTTTCACTCCTTAGTACTTATTACCATGTAACAAACTGTATATTTTATTTATTTATCTTACGTATGGTTGGTCTTCCGGCTAAATTACATGCTTCATGAAGCAGGAACTGTTCGTATGTTTTGCTCATCCCTATCTCCAGAATTTGCAATAGTACCTGGCACATGGATAGGTTCAGGTTCATGCAACAAAAACCAGTAGTGACATAAACAAGATAGAGGCTATTTTTTTTAATATATGTGCCATTCAACAGTGGACCTAGGCCCCTATCTCTTTCTCTTTCACCATCCTGACTGACTTGTACCATCAAAATTGCCTCATGATCTCATTATTAATGCCAGAGCTCCAGCTGTCACACAAACATTCCAGGCAGAAAGAAGAGAGGTGGGGCAAAAGGACACCTACTTTTCAAATGAAGCTATCTCCATTAAAAGTTTTTCTTGTAGTCCAGGCATGGTGGCTCACTCCTGTAATCCCAGCAATTTGGGAGCCAAGGCAGGTAAATCTCTTGAGCCCAGAAGTTCGAGACCAGCCTGAGCAACATGGTAAAACCCTATCTCTACAAAAAATTAAAATATTAAGAGGGCATGATGGTGCACACATGTAGTCACACCTACTCAGAGACTGAGATGGGAGTATCGCCTG